GGGCGGACATTTCCACACCCTATTTTGATTTCTAATCCTTTGAATATATATAAGTAAAATGAATTAATAATAATAAAAAATTCTATAATGAAGGGAAACATTTTATTAAAGTAGAATTTAGGTATACTGTTTTCATTAATGGAATTTTATTCAAAAAATTCTTTAATTATGGAATTTACTAATTTAACCTTTGAAGAAAATATTTTCCATTAATACTAGACAGATCCCTCTTAAACTTAAGCCAGTTTGATGTATTTAGATTCAAAATAAAGTTTTATAATTCTGAAAAACATCTCATGCTTTTATAATTCTATAACGAATTCTTCTTAATCCTTTTTTTCAATATCATCCAATGAAGTCTCATTAGAAAATATTACTGTCTTCAATCATAATTGGCTAGACAAAGAATTTTGGATAAAATATTATGATATTCAATTTTTAGGAGAATATAATTAGAATGAAATTTCATATGCAATATCATAATCTTATAAAATAGAGAATATTGGAGGTATTTTTTCAATATCTGTGACCAAATTTATATTTACTAATGGATTATTTACTTATATTTTAGCTGAAAGCAATTTAATATTTAACATTAATTTATAAGGATAGGGGATGGTTATTATAGGAAATTGCAGCATTATTCATGCATATAATTCACTAATTTCAAATTCTGAAAATGATGGAGCGATTACCATTAATAGCAGGAATAGTTTATTACTCCTAAAACTTGAAAATATTACTTTCGAACATGTATATAATAAACTATCATCATCCATATTTTCAATATATCCATCCTTGAAATAAAATAACATTAAATTAAAAAATATAATTGTTAATAATTGTTTTTCTCTTGTTAATTCAATAATCAACTTTTAATCTCAATTTTAAAATGCAAAATGAATAAAATATTTGTTGAAAATTTTAAAGTTGTTTAACTTGAGTAAGCATTAATGATATACCTTCACTTGATTGGAGAAATTAGTCAATTAGAACTTTAAAAAGTAGTTGATAACAATGCAATGATGAATTTCATAGGATGCCAAATATAATTAATTGGATTACAAATAGAGGGAATTATTTTATCCTCGATTATCAAAATTAGAGATTCTAATTCTATAAAATTGGGTAATTCACAATTTGTTTCTATTTCAACTTTATCCTGTAAATTTAATAGATATATAATAGAACAATATTTTATAATCTACAATGATGTTTTATAACATTCTAATCTCAAATTTGATTAATTTCCAATATTTAAATTTACCTAATAATTTAACTTTTGAAATTTCTGATTATATTGGATTAAAATTTAATATGTGTAGTATTTAGAAATAAATCAATAATCAAATAAATCTAAAA